TATATATTATTCTTAGGCTCAGGGACAAGGATATGCCAATAGATAAACTAATAGTTCTACATAGACTCAATGACAGGAATTAAACCCCCCAGAACTCTGGTATTGGAAGGACAGCTCCACTCATATGCAATGCTAGCTATATGGGCCATCCTGGTTGTCATTCACTCAGATTTATTTCATATTTTTACTAAATTTCTAATCATTTCTTTTTAGCTTAGTAGGATACAACATACTATGTTCATGTATATGGGGACCCAATAAATTTCAATTCAATTCCCTATACATGGTGTCCAAAGAGGCTGTTCTCCATAAGCTTAAAGCCAGGGTTTTAAAGAAATTATCAGCAAAGATACAGATATTTGAATATGAAAAAAACTTGTGAAAGGGGGTGTAACACTCCTCATCACCCCCTAAACTATTCGAGAAAGTGGTGGTACATTCTCTTTTCCACAGTATCATATTAGCTGTTCCTAATATTTCCTGATACATCCCTTCAATGACTTTAAAAAACACAATAGTTTATATTTTTAACCCTTCTTGAACATACTGTAGCTTTATTAAATTAAGAATACTTTAATAATAAAACTCAACTTAGTGGTTACCATTTTACTAGCCAACATGAATAGGGTAACAAATCATTAGAACTAATTTTAGGCCTTAAAAAAGGGAGGAAAATGAAAAACTTCTCCATGTTTTTTTGGCTTTATCATTTTCATGACATTAGAATCATTTATAATCTTTGACAAGTCTATAAAGTTCTATTAGTTTCCTTTTAATGTTATTATAAGGACTAGGCTCCTTTCTACTTAATGTAACCATAAACGACAATTTGACAGAAAAACTGTGACACACAACATTAAATTGATTGCTCAATTCAAGGACATTTAAGAAGAAATTGTACGGTAATTCTAAAAATAGAAACTCGCAAAGTGTTTATATGCCTCAATTATAAGCCCGACGAACATTAGATTTAACCTTTGGTTAACAAAGCTGATTGTTTTCACAATCTATATATTTTTTTTCTTCTTCGGTATAGTCTAAGATCTCAAATATGTCTGAAATACTTGAATGCAGCAGCTGAATTGTTGTTTATGCCGTGGGTAATGGATCTACCCAGCAGGCTGAGTAATCTAGAACCTAGGAGCTTAATAACTAAGTCTCTTTCATGAGGCTCAAAAATTGTATTTGGTTGTAGAATTGCTTCATCGATAATAAACTAAGCACAATTTATGTAAACGTACTGAAAAGGAATAAGAAAGAAAACGAATAGATTGAAAAGTATTAAGAAAGGAAACGAAAGTTTGGAAAGTAATAAGAAAGAAAAATGAATAGAAAGAAAAAGAAAATGAACTGAAGAAGGGAAGGAATAAGAAAGAATAGAAAGAAAGTATATAGAAATTAAATGCAAGGCTAAAAAGGGATAGAACTAAAAAGAAAAGAGGAGTACAAGATATAGTAATAAAAGCAAGAAACAAGTATAGAATAGATAGAATGAATAAAATAGAGATAAATGGAAAAGTAAGTATATAATTGCAATTAATATATTTTGTTAGTAAATATATTTATTAATAACTGCAACTGTAACTTTATTATTCAATACTTTTCACTTGGTAATTTCAAAATTTTGCCTCTGTGTATTGGATATTTAACTATTCAATATAAAAACATAAAAATTAGTAAATCCTTTTTCTTTTCATCGAGTCACTGCACCTCGGAATAGTTCGCTAGATAGACGGCGCATTATAAATGCTGTTTTATTATTATTATTTTATTACTGTGAGCTATCAAAGAAAGAACAGATACTAGCTCGCATAGCCGGAAAATGTCATGTTGATAATATCGACGAAAACTCGAAGTAAGTTTACATCAATTGCACTTGGTTTATTATCGATCAAACAGTTCCACATTCATAATATGCAAACCGGATGAAACTTATTTGAATATTTGTGATAAACCACAGTAGTTTTCTGTAATTTTGTATGTAATTTTATATGTCTAAGAATAACTAAAAAATTGCAATTTAACTATTTCTTCGTTTTTTATACCCAATGTATTTTGTACCTTTTTCCATGATATTTAACCTTATAAATAATAATTAATTTATAAAGTTTTTTATATTTTTCTATGTCATTTAATGATAAATAATTAAATACAGTAATTATCTTCTAAAAAAATTATATATATCCCTGTTTTCTTGTATCTTTGATTGTGAGGTTATTTGTTTAAAGGGGGATGTAGACAGAGGTGCTTGTCACCTGTTCATCCCTTCCTTTTTGCTGCTGTCCGTTGTGTTTTTCTATTGTATATGTTTTCTTTGTGCAGTGATGAAGCGTAATAAATAAATAAAAAAAAAACAAAAACAGTTCAATCTAAATTCAAATAAATCTAAAAATAATACCATAAAATTTGTATATGTATTGTACACAACGATTAAATTTTCCTATATTTAAGAGTTCATCACATTTAGTGAGAATCACCAGATTATTTTTTTTGGACCTTTTTTAATGGTTTTAATGGAAATTTTTACGCACTTAAATTTATATATATATACCCATTCTTTCGTCTTCTTTGCCATTATGTTTCAAATCACGTAATTTTACAGAAACACAACGCCAGCAACTCATAATCCGGTCATGGATACACATCAACTATTATTATTTAAGTTGAAATTTGAAATCAATATATTTTCATTCAAACTTGTTCTTTTCAATATAAAAAAACATTTGTTATTGAGTACTTTTGTAGCTGAGATTTATTGTGTAATTTACGTGAAAACATTAAAGTAAACCTTTCTGCTGTTGCATGTTAGTGTAATAATTAAGGGATTTGAAAGCAGTAAGCGATTTTATAGTCCTCTTTAGAATGTCTAAACAAGAGAATTGATAGGTTTTGAATTAAATTTCGACTGTCAACATTCCTGAGAAAACTGCAAAACACACCCAATATTTTTATGATCTTAAAATTGCAAGATATCAACTTCAGACTTTTTAGGGTAATAATGGCTCCAGAATCACTTTATTTTAATAGTGCCATGAATATGTTATAATAATTACTTTTATTTTACAATCTTAAAATTCAAGACTTAAACATTTCTAAAATTTATAAAATTTCATGATTTCTTAACATATTTATAGAGGGCGACCCTTCCAGCGTATACAAGAAGGTCGGCTGATATACAGGGGCCCGCCGGCCTCTTAAATAAATGAAATAGCATGATTCGAACAGTTGACACCCAATAAAATTCCTTTTCACCGATAATTTTTCCATTATTGAACAATTAAAGAATATAATTATTCATATATTCCAAGCATTGTGTTAAATTATTATTGTATAATTTTCTATTTGCCATAATTAGGCTCAGATCCAACAAAAATCTACTGACTAGCCTATCCTCCGTAGCTTGGATACCTTTATAAGACAATCAACTCGGAATTGTCTGATCACTTATTTTCACTACTATAGCCGATTTGTAGAATCTGTAAAAATTAGTTTACGTTTACAGTCAATTTCTTACCCTATGCTCAGGTTTATTAGTCCATCTATCGAGACAGCCTTGTCTAATACCTCAAATTACGATTCAATCTCAACCTTGTTATGTAAATCGATAAATTTTCAGACAGCGAGTTGAAAAGAAAACTGTTGCTACAGTATAAAATCTGATTTATTGCCTAGTTACTATTTTGTGTATCTGTTAAAATACGGTCAAACAATCCCAACGGATAGAAGATGTTTTTGAATAATTATATAAATACATCTCGCCATCGTTCTTCTTCGCAAATTCTTCTCACTGTTCCTAAATTTCACACCAGAACATTTGGCCAAAGAACATTTTTAATCTGCTGCCTTTTATCTTGGGAACGAACTGCCTTCTCCTATTAGGTCATCTACCTCTATTACTACATTTAAATTTCTTTAACAGCTTGCCTTAACATACACAGTGCCTTTGCTATGTATTTTACCGATTTCACATCTATATTTCGTGATGAATATTTTAATGTGTTTCATATGAATTTTTCTTTATTTTTACGAAAGCAAATTTCCAACCTGTATTTATACATTTGGACAAATAAATATTATAATTTTCTTATCTTATCTTTGATCATATTTCTTTGAAATTAGCACATTACATTATTTATTTATTGTTATTATTTATAAATTATTATTTATTAAATAAAAATTTTTTAATATATACAAAGGAAAGAAAATAATTATAGTGATGTTGTATTTAATATATACAGTGTAATATGTGGGGTTCTATATGCTTACAAAATTTGTTTGAAACTATAAATATGTGACCATGATTACAGCAGCCTAAAATACAGCCTATGAACACCAGGATATAGTATCAGTGTTGTTTTTAACACGTTTGCTGCCTGAGACGCAAGTTATGTCCGACCGGGTTCACTAAGGGTGCCAAAGATGTGAGTAGATGTTCACACCTAGTCAAACATACCACTATTATATTGCTCGTAAACTCCCTAGCAGTGGTTACCGAAATACAAACTCACGCCCTGGAGTTTCAAGGAAGGAAGTAAAGTAATATGAGGTAATACTTAACTGAGTGTATTGTTCATTCAGTTTGAGGCGGGGGAGGGGGAGGGGCGAGGAAGAGAGGGTGGCACAAACTTAATCTCAGGGGCATGCAAGTCACTAGAATGAAGAGTGTACCATATTCTAAATTCATTCATATAGTGCCGGTATATATATATATGCCAGTTACTGATTTATCACTTCCCACACTACATGTCACTTAGAAGCTGCAGAATGCCTTTAGCCAGCTTATGTGTTGTAACTACCTCTCTACATTCGGTTATGATTGATTGTAACCCTCTCAGCATTTCATGTCAAATCCCCTTAATTTCTGTCTTCTGTGTATTTATTAGAATAATATTTCATTTTACTTCTATGTGTCAATAAAATGACACTTCATATCATTTCCAAATTTTGTAACTTTTAATTTATTATTCTGGTAAGTTTCGTGTCACAAGATTACCATATGAATGATGTTTATGCCCTACCAAATGTGTTATAATGCTCGGTAAGTTTTCCAAATACTTGCGAAAAAAAATCTCATAAGTGGGAATCGAACCCACAACCGCCAGATAAGTAGCTTGGTGTCTTAAACATTAGACCACCGACCTTGTGCTTAGTGACTAGTGTTTAATCCGATCCCTAAGTATCAGCGAGTTGTGCAATGCTATTCTGATGAAGTTTAGTTTTAAATACTTTTTACTAATATCTTCTTGTTTAAGCTTTTTGAATATGAATTTTTTTGTTAATATATTCAGCAGAACCACTTTGAAAATCAATGCTTCAACAATGAGTCTTTAAATATAAAGAAAAAATATATGAAATATTATTTCCTAAAAATTAGAACTTTGAACTTTCTTGAAAAGGAATTTCATGTTCTCCAACCATCTTTGCATTTTGCTTTTAGTTGTGAGAAAAAAATCTTGTTGTCACAGGAATTGAACCCAGGACCTGGGATTGGAAGGCAAGCACCTTAACCACCAAACCATTTAACTCCACTCCAATATAGGTTTACCATACATTACGCCTTTGATAATTTTCTTAAATAATTGCTGCAAAATTAATTTGTATTATTATTATTATTACTAATAGTCAAAAAAAAAATAAATCAATAAAATCATAAAGGATGAATAAATAGCAGCTTACGATGTTCAGAGTTTAAAAATCAGCATTTTGCGAAGTCAATACCTTATTAGCCAAGAGAGCATCATGTGAAAAAAAATTTGTATGTTACAGGAAGATTTTAAGCATTGGTGTCTAAGGTAAAATCAAGTTTCTCAACCAAATAACCAAATTTAACCAATGAGCAGTGGGGAAATCCAGAATATAAAAAAAAACAACCCACTGATCAGATACAAACATCCAACACAACTTACCTTTGTTTCTTCCCTTGTTTCTCGTCCTTTATCCACTCCGTAAACTGCGCGCATGGACGTTCGTCGGTGGACTTGAGATCCATTAGATTCCTTTGTTGATGCAGGGTCTGGTTGTTCGACATGACTATGAACCTAGCAACCAATGAAAACGTTCGATTAATTAAAATTTGTTTATTTTTAATGTTAATTTTAAAAATATTTCTAATCCTACACTGAAGACTTCGCCCCAAACTTGAAAGAAAAAACAAGAACAACCTCCAATATAACATTTTTTTTTTCAAACAGAAATCTTTGTCATCTGTAACTGTGTTTCATCTACAAATTTAAAGATGTATTAGCCTCTGAAAAATAATAAAAATTAATTTTGAAATTAATACAAATTATTAACTTGAGCATAAAAATGATTGAATTTTAAAAATATTTACCCTAATTTTTATATGGGATCATTATAAAAAATAATTAAGTGTTTCTATCATTTCTTTTGCTGTAAAATTATGAATTTTACATTTTTCAAATACACTTAATTCTATGTTCATGTTGATAATTTTTATGTTACTTCAAAATGAGCAACTTAATTTAAAAAATGACTTTTATAATATTATTGGGTATTTTTTAAGGGATACAATACACTTTGAAAGTCAAAGAATTATCTGTATGGAAAAAAAAATATTTGAAACTTGAACTATTAAATAAGAACAATAATAATAGAAATAACAACAATAAAATCACCAATAACATAACAATAATCTACATGGTTCACAATTCTTAGAATAAACACAAATAAAAGTATGTTCTAGAGTAGGTACAGTATATTAAAGGCTGTGAAAAATAAGTTGGTGGTATATTCCACAATGAATATACATGCATCTAATTAGTATATCTCTTCCAGGAAAAACCAACCATGTCATTATCATCACTATCATCTGAGAAATGGTCCCATTCCTCTGAGCTCCAGGATGAGTCCGACTCATCAACCATCGGTACCTCATCTTCGTCTTGCAACATAAGAGACTCGTACAACCAGTCATCATCGATGAAAATACCTGGAAAAAAAGACCAAAACATAGATCTGGTGTCAAAGACCAAAACATACCGTAAATCTTGAGTCAATTATGACATCTGATTCAAGATTCATTTATTGGTTAAACACAAGAAATGATATAAACATGGTTTGAAGCTTTGGACATTTCTTTTAAAAGAAATCTGAAGTTGGGTTTAAAATAGAAAATTGTGTGGAGAAATTACTCTTGTTTAGCATGTAAAGCTTGATTTCCTTAAAATTGCTACACAGTTGCTGCAGTGTCTTCAGTGTAATCGTTGTACTGCGTAGCTCAGTTCCCGACGCAGTAAGGAGTTCCCCGATTCGACCAACTAATCAGCATCACCGAAAGCTGTCGGTGGTAGCGTATTGCAATTATATAGAAACCAAGCTTTAAGCAATTAATAACAACAGAGGGGGGAAGGAAGAGGACTTTTAGCAGAATGGTCCATTACTGTATTATTGAATATCACTATAAAACCCCCATTGAAACATTAATTTTTGTAGTAATGTAATTATTATTAAATGGTTTTTTCCAGTATTGCATAATAAATCCCTATATCATAATTTAAGTACTTGTTATTCAAGATATTAAATCTAAGATTCAACATTTCATTTGTGGTATGAGTTAATATTCACTTAAAAAAAGGGATCTGCATTCAATTTTAATATTAATGAAATATGAATCAATATCATGGTTTTAGTAATTTTTATTGTGTCTCAACACAGTGCAATATATAAAAACACATTTCTAGCATATAGTATATAGTTTTACTTCTTTCGCTGCATTCCCCCATAGTGTGGGAAAGCTACTACTCCTACTACCAGTCAGTACCTATATCGATCATTA